TTACCTGTAGGTACAAGTTAAAAACAGACTTTACTACCACTGTATAATTTGGTAGCATATAATAATTGAAGAACCTACTTCAGATGCCACAAAAAGTTTTTACAAGCATTTAAAGTATAAGTAAACCCAAGCTTTTATTTAAAAAAATACCTGGTGATCTTATCATGAAGGTCATTGTTTAGGCACGTCCTGTCTCCTGTCTTCCTATTCTGCCTATTCAACCTGTCACAAGGGCTTCAAATGGAGACTACAAGTGGACTTTTGAAAAACACATTGGAATGGATTTACTACAGGCAAGACCATGCACTGTGCAAGTGCAGTTGCCTCAGAGCTTAGTAAATGAGGGAAACTCTGCTGAATTCCATCATCCAATCATGTGCAAAATAAAAATGGCAATTGTTTATGATACCTAGTGCTTTATCAAATTAAATGCCATTCATTTAGGGTTTACATCTACTTTTTTTGTCCTTTTTTTTCCTACCATTTTGCCTTGTTTCTTCTGTAACTCTAGGTAGTCTATAATATTCTATTCATAGTATTGCAGATTGTTGGACTAAATATAGCTATGGAAGGAATAATGCCTATGATACTGCTTAAATTCATAGTATGTGAAAGCTTCGATACTGTACTTACATTTCTTCCACCTCTTCAATGGTGTCTGGCAGTGGTTTGTTAACTGTTTCAGGTAAGAAATATACTAGTAGTCCAGATAAAATTGGTGCACCCCCATATATGACCAGTGGTAAGAAAGGAAAGAATTCACTCAGCATCTTCACTAGAGGAGCCACAATTCCACCCAGACGTGCCATGGTACTGCCCAAACCGAGTCCACTCTGTCTGAAATTGATACATTCATTAGTATTTTGTAGAGTGGCATTGTAATACATTGGTTAAAGAGTAATTCCACTTTTAGTGAGAAAAAAACATTCCCCCTGGGGATCAATGTACGGTACATTGCAAGGATTTTAACAAACATTTTTTGCAGATTCCTACCTTTTTACTTCTGAAGAAATGGCTGTGCAGTATGTCTGTGTCCATGTACAGGGAAAATCTGTATGGGAATGGTTTTGTAATTATCATCCAGCTGCTGCACCTGCAGAGCTGTAATGAAGAAATTGGCAGAGTCTGCATCCCTTTAGACCTGATTTCCCTTTGGGAGTATCTCACCAAAAATGATATTTTTTGTTGCAGGGGATGCTCATAATCTGACTTGCATCTCAGAGCAGATGTTTGGGAAAATCAGTAAGCCAATCATACAAGCAGGAAATTATATGTCTGGAGGATGTTCTGTACACAGTCCGTGTACAGAATGCCTCTGGATTGCCATACTGCATTGTATTTTATGAACTATTACAGCCCACAGATTGAAAGGAGGAAAAGTAATGTTTAATAACATTCAATTACAATATGGCTTGTCGCAATTGTATATGCTGTATAATTTTTTTGTATTCATTATTTTTTTCCCAAGAAAGTGGAGTTACCCTTTAAGCAAAATAGTTCAACACAGGGACAACATAACCCAAGATATTTCTGCATAGAAAAATAATACTGTGTGTATATATATATATATATATATATATATATATATATATATACATATACACACACACTCACTAGCCTGTTTATTAGGTACACCTGTTCAATTGCATGGTAACACAAATTGCTAATCAGGCAATCACATTGCAGCAACTCAATGCATTTAGGCATCTAGCTATGGTGAAGGCGACTTGCTGAAGTTCAAACCAAGCATTAGAATGGGGAAGAAAGGATATTTAAGTGACTTTGAATGTGGCATTGCTGTTGGTGTCAGATGGGCTGGTCTGAGTATTTAAAAAACTGCTGATCTACTGGGATTTTCACACACAACCATCTCTAGGGTAGGGTACAGAGAATGGTCCGAAAAAGAGAAAATATCCAGTGAGCGGCAGTTATGTGGACAAAAATGCCTTGTTGATGTCAGAGGTCAGAGGAGAATGGACAGACTGGTTCAAGATGATAGAAAGGCAACAGTAACTCATGTCAATATGGACCAAAATCACAAGGAATGTTTCCAGCACCTGGTTGAATCTATGCCACAAAGAATTAAGGCAGTTCTAAAGGCAAAAGGGGATTCAACCCAGTACAAGCAAGGTGTACCTAATAGAATATCCAGCGAGTGTACATTTAAATACAGTATACACAAATGTGGGTATGTTGAGAAATTGACAACACAGTCTAGAATTGTATATCTCATATAGATATGCAGTACACTGGAATTTTTATTTTTTGCTACTTTCATGTGTGGAGTTAAAATTATTGCCTGTGTCCTAACCTTCCTGTTCTCTTTCTGAGTTCTTACTTAATACATGGTTTGAGTACTGTGGACGACTTGTTCATCAACTACTAATAAAAATCATTCAATAGTGATTTATAGGAAATGTTAGTACTATGCACTGGCATATCTTGGTGCAGAACCGCGAGTATTCTTATGCTGTACAGATGTAATTCCTAAGGCGCAAATGGATATTGTGTCCCAAGGCAATTAGCTACAAATACAGCATAAAATAACTACTAATTATAAATTAGAGATAATACTAATATTGACTGTCACCACATCTACTTCCACTTTCCATACTGCCTCTGCATAACTCTAGCCGACATTTGCTCTCACAAGACACCCAGGTACCACCACAGAGCCCTTCTTTCTCCATCTACACCTACCATCAGCCCTGAAGAATGGGGGAGGCTTATCTCCCAAAATGCATTGGCTGTATCTGTATACTTGTTATTTTCAATACACAATTGGAATCCTTCTATCAAGTGTGGCATCACTCCGGACACTGGGCACTCCTGTCTCTCTATTCAAATATCTCCAGACTTATCTCTAAATATCAAAATAAATGCTAGTTATATGCAGTGGCAGATCCTAGTGTAGAACTGAGAGTATTTGGATAAAGCATGGCTGCAGAAGAAGGAAATAAACAGAACAATGAGTTAGCTTAGTGTTGAGGCTTTGTGTGGAGGTTACATCATGCTAGGGTTAGGCATTATGCTGGTAGGTAAAGCTCTAGGATCAAGGTTAGAGTTAGGTTTTATTAGAGAGGGTATTTGTTAAAGAGGTATTAAATCTGTAAGCAAACAATTATTATACAATATTGCAGCTTATCAATTCCTAAGCTTCATTCACTCTGGCTATCAAAAACGCCACGTTTAAGGATTTTTGGCTTTTTTTTTCTTCATTTAAACACCCCATCAGGCTTTTACAGGCAGTTAGAGACAGACACATTTAAAGGCAGAAACAATAAACATGGAAAGGAGCATTTTTGGCAGAAAAACACCTGAGATGCCTACATCAGCCTAAACGTGCCTAAACACTAGGTGTGTTTAGCGTTTGAGCACTAATTCATTTCAATGGCCAGAATAAATTAATATTCTGGCCAGAGGAATGAGTGGCACGCCTAAACACATTTGCAAAACATGGCTTTAGGCACTTTTTTAAAGCTGTTTTTCCTCCTTTCAGGAGAAAAGGCATTCAGAAGAACTGGGCAAACACCCAGTGTGCATGAGACCTGAGATATGATGGCTGCAGTAGTTTTCTTTTTAAGAATTTTAAAAATGTATTTTCACCTGGTGATCTGGCCAGTACGTCTGTTGTTTTTCAACATAACAAGTTGTTCTACAGATGTAGTAGTTACAGGGCTCAGATAAACCAGTTACTACTGACTGGAGTGCATACGATGATCATTTTTTATTCATTTATGTAAAACCTTTATTCCAAAAGGAAAGGAAACTGCTGTAACTGCTTTTAAAGTGTTCAGCTTCAATTTGTTAGTGTATTTAAATATGCTAGTAGAGGGGTGTCAAACTCAATTTCATTGCAGGCCACATCAGTATTATGGTTTCCCTCATAGGACCAGTTGTATATGTAATACTAGATGTTGAGATCACCCCCCCCCCTTACATCAGATGTCAAGCACCCCCCCCATCAGAAGTCAAGAGTCCCCCACCCTCCCTTACATCACAGTGCACCCCCTTACTTTATTCTGCTGCCAGGAAAAAAGCTGGGGGCAGATCTGGGAAGCAGGAAGTGTGGGGTCTGGAGGAGGACCAGAAGAGGGCTGGAGTCAGCTGCTGGAGTCTGAGACCAGGGGAGGTAGTGACACAGGGGTGCTGCAACTGCACAGAGAAGGGCAGGATCTGGCCAAGGAGTTCTGTGCTCCTCTCTGCTGCTGACTGCTGAGACAAGGCGGGGTGGAGACGAGGGGGGTGCCGCAGAGGTGTGAAGACCACATGAAATGGCAAGGCGGGCTGGATTCGGCCTATGGGCCTTGTGTTTGACACACATGCGTGCTAGTACATATAACACTCCCCTCCCCCCAGACTGACAATGCTGCAGGATGTGTGTTACTGGCCAGATCACCAGGTAAAAACAGAGGGAAAAACTCTAAGAAAAGGAAACGAATGCATCCGCCACATCTAATGATTGGTAATCTGCAATATATTCCATTTTAGGTTTTGAGTTTATTACCACTTTAAGGTCTTACATAACAGGTTAGGTTAAGAGTAAAAGCTGAACTCTGGGATAAACAAATCATGTCCAATTACAGGAGTCATGTGTATTCTTACTTGAATCTTGGTGTTTTCTGTTTATTTTTTCCAGATCTGTGCAGTAATATAGCATAAAACTTTGCCTTTGTGCAGACATGTCCTGTAATCAAGCCACTGACACTCTCAATCCTTGTGTAGGGTGACTGGTCTTGTATCCACCCCCTTCTGTAGTTTTCTACAGGCAGCCTGCAGTGGGTGGGGCCTACTGGGCCACTCCGACAATTCTGCTCTCTGCACATGCTATATGCAGCATAATGATGATGTCATTGCTATTTATCAATTTTACAAATTGATAAATAGGTTTGCAAAGCCATTTGGAGAACACAAAGTAGATTAATATATTTTTTATTTTTGAGGTACCGTATTTTTTGCTCCATAAGACGCACCTGACCATAAGAAGCACCTAGGTTTTTAGAGGGGGGAAACAAGTAAAAAAATATACTGAACCAATGGACTGCAGACATAGTACAGGAAAAGGCCAGAGACTGCAGACATAGTACAGGAGGTGACCAGAGACTGCAGACATAGTACAGGAGGTGACCAGAGACTGCAGACATAGTACAGGAGATGACCAGAGACTGCGGATATACTACAGGAGGTGACCAGAGACTGCAGACATGTGGATGTACTACAGGAGATGACCAGAGACTGCGGATATACTACAGGAGATGACCAGAGACTGTGGACATACTACAGGAGTTGACCAGAGACTGCGGGCATATTACAGGAAGTGACCAGAGACTGCAGACATAGTACAGGAGGAGACCAGAGACTGCGGACATAGTACAGGAGGTGACCAGAGACTGCAGACATGTGGATGTACTACAGAAGATGACCAGAATCTGCAAACATAGTACAGGAGATGACCAGAGACTGCGGATGTACTACAGGAGATGACCAGAGACTGCAGACATAGTACAGGAGATGACCAGAGACTGCGGATATACTACAGGAGATGACCAGAGACTGCGGACATACTACGGGAGTTGACCAGAGACTGCGGACATATTACAGGAGATGACCAGAGACTGTGGATATACTACAGGAGATGACCAGAGACTGTGGACATACTACAGGAGTTGACCAGAGACTGCGGGCATATTACAGGAAGTGACCAGAGACTGCAGACATAGTACAGGAGATGACCAGAGACTGCAGACATGTGGATGTACTACAGGAGATGACCAGAATCTGCAAACATAGTACAGGAGATGAACAGAGACTGTGGATGTACTACAGGAGTTGACCAGAGACTGCGGACATAGTACAGGAGATGACCAGAGACCGGGGACATACTACAGGAGTTGACCAGAGACTGCGGACATAGTACAGGAGATGACCAGAGACTGCGGACATACTACAGGAGTTGACCAGAGACTGCGGAAATATTACAGGAGATGACCAGAGTCTGCAGACATAGTATAGGAGATGACCAGAGACTGCGGACATACTGCAGGAGTTGACCAGACACTGCGGACATAGTACTGGAGATGACCAGAGACTGTGGACATACTACAGGAGATGACCAGAGACTGCGGACATAGTACAGGAGATGACCAGAGACTGCGGACATAGTACACGAGATGACCAGAGACTGCGGACACAGTATACGAGATGACCAGAGACTGTGGACATAGTACAGGAGATGACCAGAGACTGGGGACACCGTACAGGAGATGACCAGAGACTGCGGACATACTACAGGAGATGACCAGAGACTGCGGACATATTACAGGAGATGACCAGAGACTGTGGACATATTACAGGAGATGACTAGAGACTGCGGACATAGCACAGGAGATGACCAGAGACTGCAAACCTTTGGGGAGCGGGGGGGGGGGGTGAGTACCCGAATTCGACAGGTACCCACTCCCCACTCCCACTTCTGCTGCAATCGCCTCTCTCCCCAAAGTCTTCTGGGACCCAGAAGACCACTGGGCCATTCACAAAGCGCATCGCTTCTCTCGCATGCACAATGGGCACCCGGCTGTGAAGCCGCAAGCTAAAGATGATGAGTGGATGAGGACACCACTGGACCGAGGAAAAGGTAGAACCGAGGAGCAGGTTCTGCTGCACAGAAGAGCCGAGCAGCCGGCCTGGTATTCTAGCACGGCGGCGAAGGGGCGGAATACTGGGCCGGCCACTCCATATTCGCTCCATAAGACGTACAGACATTTGCCACCCATTTTTTGGGGGGGAAAAAGTGCGTCTTATGGACCAAAAAAATACGGTATATATTTAAATGAATGTTTCTGTCCCCAGAGATTAAGCTTAAAGGGCTGAGGCAGAGAGAGGGGTAAGTGTTAGAGGTTCAGATTTAAATAATAGGTTAGGAGTCAGGTGCTGGGAGGGGTTATTAGGTGCTAAGTTTTTCATTTAAAGGTTAGATTAAGTGTTAAATGGTCAGATGGGGGGAAGGGTCGGATGCTAGGAGGTACTTCCATTTTAGGGACACTTGGCAACATTCTCTGTGCACCTCCCCCCAGCCCCAACAATACTTACCTAAGCCCGATCTCAATCCGGTGCAGAAGAGCAATGGCTCGTCTAGCTCACTCCCTCCTCATTGATTCAAAGACAGTAGCAAGAGCCATTGGCTCCCGCTGTTGTCAGTCACAGCCAGTGAGAAAAGAGAAGGGGGTGGCTGAGCCCTGCTTTGTGTGTTAATGAACACACAGAGTAGGGCTCAAGAGCGAGCATGCTTGGATGTCCCCATAGCAAGGTGCCCCAATAGCAAACGGCTTGCTATGGGTGCACTCAGCAGGGGGGAGCCAGGAGTGCCGGAGGGTGACCCCAGAAGAGCAGGATCAGAGCTGTTCTGCGTAAAACCATTGTACAGAGCAGGTAAGTATAACATGCTTGTTATTTTGATAAAAAGTCTACCTTTAATATCACTTTAATTAAACTGCATTCACTTTAATCCTCTCGTCATGTGAAAACAAAATGTCTATTTACTTTCCTTTGTGCATAATTAGGTCCTTGGAGTGAAAAAAGAAGAATATTCAGAATTGTGGCATTTTTAAGCTGCTTTACTAAAGAATTTGAGTATATTCACTGCAATTATCCAATCACCAATGTGCACATGTAATAACCAATCCAGAATTGTGTAGTGAATCTTTACACTTTTTATTTTGTGATCATTCTCAAATTATTTAGTAAATAAGCCCCATTATCTCATATTTTTTACAAAATGAGGCTAACTTACTAAAGGGTTAAGAATGTTCACATTATATATTGTGTGAATGTTTGCTTCAATTATTCAGTAATTTGTAATTTAAAATAAGTAGACATGGATTTTTTTTCATCATTGGATAATTGAAGTAATGCTTCAAACAATTTATTGTGTGAACATTCCTAAATCCTTTACTCAGTCAGCCTCAGAGCATGCTAAAACTTCAAATATTTTACAGAATTTGTCAGAATTCTGACATATTATTTCATAATAATAATGTAAGATATTATCTCAGTAGTTTAAGAAATTAACTCAGAACTCTGATATCTAAAAATTATCAGTGATTTTTTTTTCACTTAGCCCTTTTTATCCCTCAGAAGATACCTTTTTTAAACAGCAGGTACCTTTCAAGTTTAGTGATTTTGAGGTGAGCTATATGTTACATCTGTAGGTAATGTGGCGTGGCATTGGTTTACATCTGCCATGTCATCAAAGACTATAGCATACTGGTTACATTTTTCCAACCCACTGATCTCCTACATCAGCAATAATGTCCTAACAAGTTCCCAATTGCATTAATTTACTGTATGGCATTTTCTCTTCATAGCCAGCCATATCTTAACCATTCTTATTATACACTGCTCAAAAAAATTAAAGGAATACTTGGAAAACACATCAGATCTCAAAGGAGATCATGGAAATCAATGGAAATATCATGCTGGATATCTATACTGATATGGACTGGGTAATGTGTTATGAACGCAAGGATGTCCCATCATTTGATGGAAATGAAAATTATCAACCTACAGAGGATTGAATTCAAAGACACCCTGAAAATCAAAGTGAAAAATGATCCAGCAGGCTAGTCCATTTTGCTGAAATTTCATTGCAGCAACTCAAAATGGTACTCAGTAGTTTGTATGGCCCCCACATGCTTGTATGCATGCTTGAGAACATCGGGCATGCTCCTCATGAGATGACGCATGGGGGTTTATTTACTAAAGCTGGAGAGTCCAAAATCAGACTCCCTTCTGCATAGAAACCAATCAGCTTCTAACCTCAGCTTGTTCAATGAAGCTTTGGCAATGAAACCTGGAAGCTGATTGGTTTCTATGCAGAAGTGAGTCTGATTTTGGACTCTCCAGCTTTAGTAAATAAACCCCATGGTGTCCTGGGGTATTTCCTCCCAGATCTGGACCAGGGCATCACTGAGCTCCTGGACAGTATGAGGTGCAACCTGGTGATGTCGGATGGACTGAAACATGATATACCAGAGGTCTTCAAATGGATTTAGGTAAGACAAACATGGGGGCCATTCGATGGTATCAATTCCTTTATCCTCCAGGAACTGCCTGCATACTTTCACCACATGAGGCCGGGCATTGTTGGGCACCAGGAGGAACCCAAGGCCTACTGCACCAGCGTAGGGTCTGACAATGGGTCCAAGGATTTCATCCCGATACCTAATGGCAGTCAGGGTGCCATTGTCCAGCCTGTAGAGGTTTGTGCGTCCCTCCATGGATATGCCTCTGAAGACCACCATTGACCCACCCCCAAAACGGTCATGCTGAACAATGTTGCAGGCAGCATAGCATTCCCCATGGCTTCTCCAGACCCTTTCACATCTGTCATATGTGCTCAGGTGTGAACCTGCTCTCATCTGTGAAAAGCACAGTGCGCCAGTGGTGGACCTGTCAATTCTGGTGTTCAATGGCAATCGAGCTCTGTGGTGCTGGGCAGTGAGCCCAGGGCCCACTAGAGGACGGAGGAGTTTTTTGATTGGTCAGAGACATTAACACCAGTGGCCTGCTGGAGGTCATTTTGTAGGGCTCTGGCATGGCTCATCCTGTTCGTCCTTGCACAAAGGAGCAGATACCGGTCCTGCTGATGGGTTAAGGACTTTCTATGGCCCTGTCCAGCTCTCCTACAGTAACTGCCTGTCTCCTGGAATCTCCTCCATGCTCTTGAGAGTGTGCTGGGAGACATAGCAAACCTTCAGGCAATGGCACGTATTGATGTGCCATCCTGGATGAGTTGGACTGCCTGTGCAACCTCTGTAGGGTCCAGGTATCGCCTCATGCTACCCAGTAGTGACACTGGCCCTAACCAAATGCAAAATTAGTGAAAAACAGTCAGAAAAGATGAAAAGGTAAAAAAATGTGAGTGGCCTCCACCTGTAAAACCATTCCTTTTTATGGGGGCTGTCTCATTGTTGCCCATCTAGTGCACCTGTTAATTTCATTAACACCAAAAGCAGCTGAAACTGATTAACAACCCCCTCTGCTACTTAACTGACCAGATCAATATCCCAGGAGTTTAATTGACTTGATGCTAGACTCTGATTAAAAAGTGTTCCTTTAATTTTTTTTGAGCCGTGCATGTTTGTAAACTAGAACACATGAAACTGAATGACATAGCAATTTTGCCTAACCACTTTACAACCGTGCTATATCTGAATGCTGGCTACAGTGCGGTTGCTCAGTTCTGGGAGGGCATCATATGAACGCCCCCAGCGGCACGCACCCGGTGCTGTCAGTAATCGCTGTGTCCTACGGACACAGCTGATCACATGACATGGTAAAAGGGCAATCACAGCGGCCTTTCACATGTGATCAACTGTGTCTAATGACACAGCAGATCACAAAGTAAATACAGTTGCCAGTTATTGGCAGCACTTTCCTCATGCAGTTACAGGATAAGGAAAGTACTGACGATAACCGGCAAATGTCACAGAGGACATCCGCATTGAATAGTGCCCAGCAGTGTTGCCCACCAGTGCCCAGCAGTGCTACCCACAGTGCCCATCAGTGCCACCCATCAGTGCCCAGCAGTGCCACCCATCATTGCTGCCCAGCAGTGCCACCCACCAGTGCCCATCAGTGTCGCCAATCAGTGCCCAGCAGTGCCACCCATCATTGCTGCCCAGCAGTGCCGTCCAGCTGTTGCGCCCAGCAGTGTCACCCATCAGTGCCACCCACCAGTGCCCAGCAGCACCACCCATCATTGCTGCCCAGCAGTGATACCCAGAAGTTGCGCCCAGCAGTGCCACCCAGAAGTGCCACCAGTCAGTGCTGTCAGTCAGTGTCACCCATCGGTGCCCATAAGTGTTGTCTATCAGTTCCCATCATTGCTGCCTATCAGTGCCCATCAGTGCTGCATATCAGTGCAGCATCATCAGTGCGTCCTCATGAATGCCCACCAGTGCCGCTTCATCAGTGCCACCTCATCAGTGCCCATCAGTGCTGCCTATCAGTGCAGCCTCATCAACGCACATCAGTGAAGGAGAAAATTACCTGTTTGCAAAATTTTATAATAGAAACAAAGAAAAACTTTTAGTTTTTTTAATTTTTTGCTCTTTTTTTGTTTGTACTGCAAAAAATAAAAACCCCAGTGATGATTAATTACTACCAAAAGAAAGCTCTATTTGTGGGGAAAAAAATTATAAAAATTTCATATGGGTGTTGCATGACTGTGAAATTGTCATTCAAAGTGCAACAGCACTGAAAACTGAAAATTGGCCTGGGCATGAAGGGGGTAAAAGTGCCCGGTAGGCAAGTGGTTATTATCAAGAAATTTTATGACCCTGTTCTGGTTTTTTTTTGTGTTTTTGTTTGTTTTTTTTTCAATGAACTATTGCCTTAGGAATGACATATTGATGGCTCCTAAGAACAGACAGAATAATCTGTGAGCCTCAGAAAACTGGGGAGTAGTGAAATGTGCATTCTGCTGTGAATTAGAGCAATCTCTTGACTGTTGAGGGTGAAGCCTGCCAGAAAAGAGATGTTTATTTAATGTATTTTAAATGTATAACGTGTACATATCGAGAAGTTACTACACTCAAAGGTCTTGAATAAGTTATTATATGCTGTTAATAAATTATCACTTGTTCATTTATTCAGAACCCACAATTGCAATAATTCCTTTGTATATTCTCAAGTAAATTTCTGCCATCAGAGCTAGTTTACATTCATTCTGTAATCTACCATTAAGTTTAGCCACAGCTTACATGTCACATATAATGGATGTCATCACATGAATGCAAGACTTCTGAAGGGAATGCAGTAGTCCTATACAGAACTTTACAGGTCTCTTAAGTACAAAAACCATTAGCATGAACAAAGAAAATCAAACCAATAACATAACTTATTGAATATCTTCAATCAGGAGCAACAGTATAAAAATGGTAAATTGTACAAATTGTAAAGTGCTCCTAGATATTAGATGACTTGATGAGTTGTGACCCAACTGTTTTCGACTTGATGATATGATGATTAAAATGCACCGACCAAGGCTGACCATAAATGGATTGCATTTTTTTTTTGCTTTTTTTCTTGATCAGCCAGTGTGCTGACCAAAAGAAAACAAAAACACAAGCGAGACAGAAGGGGGAATCCTCCCTGTTGTGCTATGGTATTCTGATCAGCGCTGCAGCTGGTTGTTTGCAACAGATGATTGAATGAACGTTTTCCAACACTTCCATTCAACAAAAGTCAAACATGAGATTGACTTCTATCAAAAGGGAAAGGCCATAGAATAATCAAAATTCCCTACTGAACTGACCAAATTCCAATCCATCTATGGCCATCTTAACAGGGGAAAATAGTGTTAGTTTAGCATAGATTAGTGGTCTAACAACAACCTGTTACTGAATGTTTGTGTTTAGGGAAACATTGGTTGGAACAGAAACCTAAGGGCAGTAAAATCCTATAATGGTTGCTGACAAATGTTATGCGTATATACATTTTTAAATGTATATTTAACATAGTATACATATATTATACATACAATAATGATCATTTTAAACTATGATTATTGGGCAACACAGTGGCTAAATGGTTAGCACTTCCATCTGGCAGTTACTAGAGGTTGTTGGTTCAAATCCCAACCACTGCACCACCTGCCTGGAGTTTGCATGTTCTCCCTTTGCCTGCATGGGTTTCCTCTGGGTACTTCAGTTTCCTACCATACTCCAAAGACATGCTAGTAGGTGAATTGGCTCCTGTCTAAATTGGCCCTAGTATGTGTATGTATGAATGTGAGTTAGGGACCTTAAATTGTACATCCTTTGAGGGTTAGGGACTGTTGTGAATATACAATACATATGTAAAGTTCTGAATAAATTGACAGCGCTATATAAGTACATAAAATAAATAAATACATTTATAAAACTTGCATAGCATCTTATTTTTACAAATAATCGCTTAATACAGGACCCTTTGTAATTTTCAGTTATAGACAAATGTTATCTAGAATGTATATATATGAACATATACCGTGTACTGTCATGGATATATATGTATTTGAGGTATGCATATACTGTATACGGTCTGAGCAGATGTACTTAATGTAGGTGTAGCAGTAAAACTTTGCAGACATTTTCCCTTATGCCTAGCACAGATGAGAAAATTGGATGAAATAAACTTTTGATCTTTTGAAACTTGACTGATCGTCCAATAATGTGATTATTAGTACACAGCTTTTGAGAGCAAATCACAACAGTTCATGCAAAATTTTCCGAAGGCACAAGTACGAAAATATTTCTTGTAAGATAACAGAATGAACGAATTTGGTTTAATCAGTACAGAATTTTTGTGTAAAAAAATAAATGACCACGTATGCTCGGAAATAAAAGAATACATTACAATAGAATACATCATAGCGGGAAGTTGTATTCTGTTTTATGAGAATTTTTGTAATTCTAGTAATCTTTAGTATAAGACTAGCATGCAATAAAAACTTATGATATTCATCTGTTATTCTCATTGTGTATACCAGGCCAAACTAAATGTTTTTATTATTTTGGGAGGATTTAGGTAAAAATAAAAGTTCATAAAAGAATTGCCTGTTGATGAATGGCAACATGCTTGAAAGGACATTTGGTATCAACTAAAGATTCCTCCTTCATGGTCTTATAAAGTGTACTGTGAAAACAACAATCAGCAAAGAAGAACTTTAATGTGGTGATAAAAGTCCTTTTCATGGGAGTGACCCAAGATGGAAAGGGGGTTTAGAAGTGACTACGGCAAGCTATAGATTATGAGACGAATTGCAAGAAAGCTGATGAGCCGATCCTGCTGGAAGAATGCAATGATTACTGCTAGCGGCTATAGCAGGGGTGGGCAAACATTTTGACTTGAGGGCCGCAATGGGTTCATATATTGGACCCGGGGGTCGGACCAAGAGTAGATGAATGATGTGTATGTGTCATCCATAGTAAGTATAGTAATATTCCCCCATAGTAAGCATAGTAATTTAATCCCCCATATAGTAATTCATCCCCCATAGTAATTCATCCCACATATAGTAATTCATTCCCCATAGTAATTCATCCCCCATATAGTAATTCATACCCCATATAGTAATTCATCCCCCATAGTAATTCATCCCCCATATAGTAATTCATCCCCCATAGTAATTCATCCCCCATATAGTAATTCATCCCCCATAGTAATTCATCCCCCATATAGTAATTCATCCCCCATAGTAATTCATCCCCCATATAGTAATTCATCCCCCATATAGTAATTCTACCCCCATAGTAATTCATCCCCCATATAGTAATTCATCCCCCATATAGTAATTCATCCCCCATAGTAATTCATCCCCCATATAGTAATTCATCCCCCATATAGTAATTCATCCCCCATAGTAATTCATCCCCCATATAGTAATTCATCCCCCATAGTAATTCATCCCCCATATAGTAATTCATCCCCCATATAGTAATTCATCCCCCCTATAGTAATTCATCCCCCTATAGTAATTCATTCCCCATATTAATTCATCCCCCATATAGTAATTCATCCCCCACAGTACTATTCCCCCCCAAGTAGTAAGCCAAGTCCCCCTGTGTCAATTCACTTACCTTTGCTCCGCGCGTTCCTCTCGCCGTGTTCCCGCGCCGTTCCGGTCTTCAGGGCGGACTGTGAGAGGAGCCTAGCTCCCCTCACGTTCCTCACGCTGCCCTGCCTACACACATTATGACAGCCGATGTTTGCCACGCTCCGCAGGCCGGATTAAAAGGTCCGTAGTTTGCCCATTGCTGGGCTATAGCCATTGGCAGTAATCACATGCTAAAAATCCAACATGCTGGTTGAACCCAAGTGGATCGTGGATCGACTTGGGTACAATCAGCCTGCTCATAGATGGATCGAATATTGGCCAGTCCCTGCTGAGATTTGATCCATCTGTGGCCGGCTTAGAAGAATGGGAGTGCTAGAAAGCATTAGGAGCAAGGAACCCAAAAAAAAGACTCTAAGCAAATAATGCTATAGATGGAACTGCGTAAGGAGCTTTGATGGATTATAAAGGGAAAATAAGCTTGATGTTTATTTGATTATTTTTATATAAATATTATTTTGCATATAAGACTTTGCCTAGACTTTATGGGGTTTTTTTTATTTGTATCTCTATGTAGAAGTGTTTTTCAAAAACTGCCTATTTTAATTTTGTATATACAAGATAAAATTTTATATCTTCTGCCAACAGCCACTTGAAGGAAATTATACAGCCACATACTAGGAAATGTTTTTGTTGATCGGTATTCATATTTTAAGTACTATCAATACTCATTTTCTTACGCAATGACACTAAACTCACAGAGTATTATGTATTTTCTAAAATTAGCGTTAGGCGCAAATATTTTCTTGCAGACCTTTCTCTGTCAAGTTGAAACATCATACTTCTCAATCTAAACTGGACAGGCAGGTAAGGAGAATTAGGGCGAATAAGTCCATCCTCTGGTTCATTGGTCAAGATGTCCATTAATCTTAGTGAATAAAATGTAGCTGTATTCACTTTGACTGTACAACCATAAAAAATATAGGGATTTCATATTGTGCATGATTGAAGTAAATGCTGCCTCACCTTATTCCCGAAACTTAGTAACAATCTCTTCATTCTTATTTAGTAAATCAATTTCATTCAATTTTGTGAGTAAATCCAAGCTTAAGCTATTTAGCTCTGCAAACAGCTGGCTAAAGGGAGCCTAATGGTCTATTTGTTGGTTCTAACTGTAAAAACTAAGTATTTATTTGCAATATTACATATTTATCTTGCAAACTGAAAAAAAAAAATTCATAAATGTTATTTTTTGTTATTGTAATATATATTCAACTATTATTGACAATAAATGGAGACATGCACACAACTTGCAATATTTGACATTTATATTTGCTATATACAGCATCTGATTCTATGTTTAGTGGTCTATGCTTACAAAAAAAACATACTGTTATGTGTAGGAAAATGTTGTCATCCACATTCACAACTCAAAATCACACATTTATTCTGCTCATGGGCTCTTGAAT